TGTCCCTTCTGAGCGGGTTCTCCAGAACACCCGAAGCCGCGAGTTCTGCTTCCAACTCGGCCATGTCTTCGGGTGGGTAGCCCGTTGGGGACTGCTTCAGTACGAAGAACTTGTGCCCATGGATATGGAACGGGTGTGCGCCGTCGTCAAAGTTGCTGATGATGATGTTGACCGTTTGGATGCCTTGCGTCTGGTACACGAACTCATTCTCTGGATTGAAGGTAATGTCGTTTACGCCGGTTGTAGACGGCAACAACGTGTCATTGTCGCTTTTCGAGGCGTCCATGAAGCGATACAGAGCCGGCGAGGTGACGTTGGCGTGCCACGTTGAGGCGTTGAAGAAGCCCCGCGATAGACGCCATGCTCCTATTTCGAAGTTGGCGCGGAGGTACATTGTGGCTGTGACATTGGGTGCTGGAATTGCATCGACAGGTCTGAGTAAAGTTGTGTTCATGTCTCGACAGTCGACATCTATGGCTTCGTCCCAGCTCTTGCTTTGTGGTTCGCTGAGCTCCGATGCCGATTCATGCGTCTTCTCTTTGCTAGAAAGTTCTGGTATGGCATACCGGATGATCCCCTTCACTTCTGAATCGAGCCAGGGATTTTCTCGTGCGAAGCATTGCGTGGTCATCCTAGCTCGCAACCAGAACGAGTCGGCAGTGGTGAGATTGGTCTCAATGACCACACTGTAGCGCTGTGCCGGAAGGATATTGAGGCGGTGGAAGGGTTCAGGGCGGACATCAGTCCCATCGACCTCGGTGATGTAGAGCGGATGCTCGTCGATTTCGATCTGAAATTCGGCAAAGGCACCAGTGTTTATGAACCTCAGGCGATGTCGCTCATTTGGAGCCAGGCTAAAGGTTTCCAACGAGGATATACGAGATTTCTCGTTCTGGCAACTCCATCCGTCAAAGTCGGCACAATCGCGATAGTTGCGCCCGTTGATGAGGCCACTCGACGGCACAGGCTCTTCATTCTCTTGGTCTGATTGAAGATAGTCCATCAACAACTCGGCCGATGTGTTGTGATAGTGGTCCGAGATCATGACAACCCGATCAGTCGAGTACTGGTCTCTGGTTCCCTGGTTTTTTCTCGGGTGGACGACGAGCGGCCCGACGAGTCCATCAGAAGCTTGGTTGCTGTGATGTGCGTGGTGCCAATACGTTCCTGACTGGTTCTCGACCGTGAACCTGTACGTGAACGTCGCGTTGGGTGCAATAGGGCACTGCGTCACGCCGACGGTGCCGTCCATGGAGTTCGTGCTGTTCTGATACATGCCGTGAAAATGAATGGCTGTGGCATTGACGGCTTCGTTGCGGACGTGGACAACAATAGTGTCTCCCTCGTTGCACTCAATGAGAGGTCCGGGAAACTGGTTGTTGATGAGCATCATCGGCCGAAAGATCCCATCAGGGTTGAAGATCGCATCGCTGATGGTCCAGTAGTGCTCTCTGATGCCTGGCGCGGCGTTGAAGTCCCACGAAGAGCCCAAAACATATTCCGACGAGTCCCTCAACTGTGGCGATGATGGTATCGGTTCTTTGACCACATAGACCGCCGTTTGAGAACGATGCGGTGCAGTCGCAGGGTATAGCTGATCTGATGCATAAAAAATGAAGAAGAATATGAAAACGCCAAAGAAGCCTGTAGAGACTCGACTCAGTAAAGAGCCCTCTGATTGACTCCTCAGCAGTTGCGGTCTCTCATCATCATCTTGGGGAGGAAGAAATGGCGATTTCTCGCCATTGTCCTCCGTAGCTGAACTATAAGACGAAGATTCCAGATGGTCCAAGTTGAAATCGGTGGAGATTGTCAGAGATGGATTCAAAAGCCTCTTTTGATCGCTTGCTCGCTCAACGTCGTCCATGGCGTGAATCTCATTGCGTTTTGACGAATGGACGGAATAACGCAACGCAAAGAAGAGATTCGAATTCAGACAAGAGGTTGAAAATGCGAACAAAATGCCGCTCACGAGCCGAACTGCCGTTCAAGGCAGGTAAGTTTTCGGAAAATGGGGTGGCGTAGCATTCTGTTTTGTTTCTGCCCGCTCGTTGCCGCGCTCTCGGGAAGCCGGCATGCCTGTCCTCTTACACGTGCGTTGGAAATGGCCCAATCAGACCTCACACTTTGACAACCTGCGTCTGCAATTGGAGTTCGGACAGTCCAAGTCGACTGAGGGGAAATGGATTCAATGCCATCCACTAGATCGAAAAGTAGTGACAGGCTCCTGTTTTTTTCGTCCCATCCATCTGTTCGTTTAATGGATCGACGAGCGTTCCCGTGCGCAGGGGTGGCGATGCTGTCAGCCTGTCAGGGATGTGACCTTCCCCATTCCTCGTCCCGATACTACAGAGTCACCGACACGGAGGTGCCCGACAGCAAATCATAGAGAACATGAAATAATCAAGGAGTCCCGGCCTTGAGGCTCTTGGTCTTCCTTGTGCTCGCCACGTCGTTCTTTCAACCGCTCGTTTGAAGGCCTTTCCAGCTTCATCATCTTCCACGATGCATTACGCAGTTACCGCAGCTATCTTCGCGGCCGGCGCCCATGCCGCTGCCGTAGCACCTCTCTGTGCTCGAGCGACCTCTTCAAGCTCTTCTGGAGGCTGGGAGACTCGGTACACTGCCACCGGCACCGCTGCTGTCGCTGCTGCTGCTGCCACTGCCAAGACCAGCAGCCCAACCAGCAACGTCAAAGGCAAGGCTTTCGACCGCTTTGTCATTATCTGGAATGAGAATACCGATTACGATAAGGCTATCGGTGATCGTTAGTGCTTCTTTGAGCCCTTTTCCCCCTCAGAATCTGACCTGTCGCAGCCAACTTTGCTTGGCTTGCCAAGAAGGGCATCACGCTGTCCAACAACTTTGCTGTCACTCATCCTTCTGAGCCCAACTACTTTGCATCGGTTTCTGGAGATTATCTGGGCATGAATAACGATAACTTCAATCGCGCCGATCGCAATGTTTCTACTGTGTTTGATCTCCTGGACACACAAGGAATCTCGTGGGCAACCTACCAGGAAGACATGCCGTTCTCAGGTTTCGAAGGCATGGCATGGGTGAACCAACAAAACGGAGCTAACGATTATGTCCGCAAACATGACCCGCCAATCTTCTTTGACAGCGTCACTAGTTCGGAGCAGCGCCTGTCCCAGGTCAAGAACCTGTCCATGGTCTACCCGGAGCGATCACAGTTCCACAAAGACCTCAAGGCCAATAAACTACCCCAATGGTTATTTTGCACGCCGAACATGACTTCGGACGGTCACGATGCGTCTGTCACTACTGCAGGTGCTTGGAACAGGAAGTTCCTTGAGCCACTGCTGGAGGATAAGAACTTCATGAACAACACATTGGTTTTGGTCACTTGGGACGAGAATGAGACGTACACGCAAAAGAACCGCATTCTTGGCATTCTTTTAGGAGACTCAATCCCTAAAGAGCTCGTTGGCACTACGGACTCAAACTTCTATAACCATTATTCTGAGCTTGCTACAGTTGAGGCCAACTGGGACCTCCCGACCCTCGGAAGGTGGGATGTCGGCGCCAACGTCTACAAGTTTGTCGCAGACAAGACCAAGAGCGTCATTCGTCAGTGGAGCAACACCTCGACAGTGCCCGACCGCTACTTCAACCAGTCGTATGCTGGTTTCTTCAACAGCAAAACCGCGAAGCAGTACCCAAAGCCCAACTTGGCTCTGAACGAGAATGCAGCCGGCAGGAAGATTCTCGAGTCCATCAAGGCGACCTGGAAAGACAGCAAAGCTCCTACGTACTACGAGGATACTGTTCAGGTTTCGGACGGACTTAACCCGCCTCCTGGCTACAAGGCATAAAGTCTCGGGACAAAGCACCTAGTAGATACTAGCATTGTAATGATAAATTTATTATTACGACTTTGAATGAATATCCTCTGAGTAATTAAGTTATAATACAATCAGAGTCTAGATATATAGGCCTTATAGGATATACTTCTAATAAGAAGTCTTGTTAAAGCCTATTCTTTCTTGTAACCTTACTAGTTTTCTTTACTAGTTTTCTTTAGCATTTTTCTTTTCTTATTTTTTATCATTGTCTCTATTATAATTCTCTAAAGTATACGTCCTCGAAAATGTGTACATGTATCCAAGATGATAGACTATAGAGACGCCAGAGGTACCTGGAGCGACAGAGAGGGCAACGGGAATGGCATCGGACTTGGCCGAGCAAAACCAACCACTCAGTATCTAAAATTCGTCACCCGGATGGTACACGGCATGCAGAATCAGCCCTCGTGATGTCGATGAGTCGTTCCACAAGGATGTTCATTGACAACGGCCGAGCAGGGGAAATGTCGAGTGGAGAAGAGATCGTCAACGGCTATCCCTGCATTAGGAGCCCAAAATGTCCTTCCTGGTCGGGAAGGTGAGAAATTCGTCTCGATTCATTGGCCCAAGATTGAGGGGTTATATTCTCCGGACTCCACACACGTGGTTGCTCTTGGCATCGCCTCTGGGCGAAAGCTTGTGTCTTGACAGATGTTTCTTGCTCCCCCACACCCCTCTTCGACATCGATGCCGACTATTTCTCCACTAAGGGAAACATTTGGGTATCACGGCATCTTTCAGCCGACTTTTTGGTTGTGTTGTGGCTATGCTGTATCGTCCACTAAGAAGCGCAGAAACTGCGCGTGGACAGAACCGTTGATGAATGGGAGACTGAGCCATGCGCGAGGGGCAAAATGCAGCCCGTCCTTTGCCGGTGTATCATTCCCAGGATTCTGCTCCCGTTTCTCTCCAGCTTGAGCCTTCTGGATTGGAACCTCTCAACTCTGTGTTTCGATCGCCGGAGTTCAATGCGAAGTTGCCCCAAATCTCATTTGTTTCACTCAAATCAACAACCCAGTTCACCATTCCTGGCAGCCTTGATTCAGCCCGACAAGCCCCTTTCAAAGTGTTGGGTGGTGAACCCCTCGCTCAAATAAACTCCCCAACTCGCAGAACACATACATCGCCTCCACGATGGTCTCTCCCAAGCTTTCTCGTTTCCTCTCAGACTTCACGCTCGGCTTCTCAGATGGCCTTACAGTACCATTCGCCTTGACCGCCGGTCTCAGCTCCCTTGGCCGCAGCGAGACGGTCATCTACGCCGGTCTCGCGGAGATATGCGCGGGATGCATCAGCATGGGAATTGGTGGCTATTTGGCAGCGCGGGACTCTTCACATAATGACTCGTCAACGGTGCAGCCATCACCGGTAGATGAAGAAGAACAGGGCATGCTGTCGTCGGCAGGAAGACACAGCGAGGACGAAATCGATGACGAGAAGAGGCTGGCAGGCGGAGCGATAGACGGAGAGGAAACAGTGCTCCGATATCTCCAATCACTGGGCTTACCTGAGACAACCGTCGCAATGGTGATCGGGGCCGTGAGGTCTCGGCCGGGAGGGTTAAGCTGGGCTTCGGAGAGAATCAATGGCACCCAAGCTAGCCGACTCCACGCTCTTGTTGGAATTGACAACGTCGACAAGAGCCATCTGCTGGTATCGCCAATCTTTTCGGGCCTGTCAATCGCTATCGGATATCTTTGTGGTGGGATGATGCCCCTGTTGCCGTACTTCTTCGCCTCGAGCGTCGGTCACGGGCTTCTGTGGAGCATCATCGTCTGTCTCATTGCCTTGTTCATCTTTGGAGCCGGAAAGAGCTGGTTATTGGGCGATAGGAAGACATCACGGACACGATGTCTATGGGAAGGACTTCAGATGACGTTGTTCGGATGTTGCGCCGCGGGGGCTGCGGTGTTATGTGTACGGTTGGTTGACCAGAAGTGGACGTGAGGTTACATATCGATAGAAGAGAGTTGCACGTTGATGTGACCACATTCTTCAGCAATGAGGTGATCGAGCATGTGTCGCAAAAACGACGCCGTTAATTGCAGGCAGCAACCAACGCCACATATACCCTACTACAGCATGCAAAAGCCCGTTGGAAATACTGATTAGAATTTCTGGCTATGCCTTGCCCTGAAGTCATTGCTGAATACTACGATTAGAGCTGCTGCGCAATCCGAGGCAGAGGACCGTCTGGATTTGTTAATGGCCAAGTGAGGATGATTAGTGAACACGAATTGAAGGAGTGGCGGGGCTGACGGATGCGGCGTGGGTTGATCACTAATCTTTAGTAATGGGCGATGCCTTGATACAGCTTGAAAATGCTCACAGCTTACGCTTCCAACTTCCAAGCTATTCTGATAAACTTGGGATCATCCGCTTTAAGATCTCGGAGTCTCAGCCAAGAAAGCCCCTTACTTGATAGGACAAGGTGAACGAAAGAACAGGTGCTGTAGCGTAGGACGAAATCAGTTCGTCAGCATCCCACGAGGAATATCTGAGAAAGAGGCAGCTATCAATACATTAGACACGAGTAATTCTGAGACCCAGTTGTTTACGTCGAACATCAAAGATTCAGCATCCATGATCGAATTGAATTTATTAAATCGGATGAAGATTTTGAGGTACGGGAATGCAATTCCAAAATATACGCTCAAGTTTCGAATCTTGGAACAGGCGCCAGTGATGCTTTTGTACTCGTCTGAATATCCCAATGTTCCATTCTCCATCTAGGCTACCTAAATTGGATGAATCGTGCTATGGTGACAATGCTTGCCATGAACGAGGTGGAAGGAACCTAGATCCTTTTAAGGGTGAGCCAATAAACTTGTCGTCTTACTTGTGAGAAGCTCGCTAAGGGGAACTTTATGATCTTGACTGGCTCAGATGATCTTATCAGAATGACAAAGCCCGTAACGCTCCGGAACAGACCGCGAGACTTTCAGACGAGTATCAATAATGAGTAATTGAACAGAACCTTGATATAGTCTCATGCTTTGTAATAATGCAGGTGAGCGCTGAGCCCGCATATTTGGCGGCGCGCACTACTAATCCCAATCCCATTCTTAGCTCGTAGCCGTGTTTCTGGATTAGTGAACAGTACACACGCCCAGACTTTTGATACTGCGACAGGAACTCTGCCGTTCCCAAAACTGCAGTCCATCCGAACCACGATTATCAATCTGTTCAGACGCTATGCTCGGCCCCGAAACTGAATGGAGAACCCTGAGAGTGGTGTTCTGCAACACTTCGATTTCCTTCGAAGATAGGCTACTCCGCAAGGCGTGCGAGCACGAGATGTGATGCTGCATTTGTCAGTTCATCAGAAACTATGAACGTGTCAACTCGAACGATGAATCTACACAAGTTATTTAAGACGTCTTCTTTGGCCTCGTTCTGCTGTTTGAGTGAATCCTCATCACATCTCAACTTCCACAGCCTCCATCTCAACATCGACTAACTCAACTACAACCACAACCCTTCTCTTTTCATAACCTCAACTTCCAAAATGTCTTCCGGACTCACTTACCTCATCACCGGCGCCAACCGTGGAATCGGAAAGGGCTTCACCACCCTCCTCCTACAGCGCCCCTCAACAACAATCATCGTCGGCGTCCGCGACCCAGCCGCTACAGCCTCAAAGGCCCTCTACGACCTCCCCAAGGCCGAAGGCTCCAAGATCATCGTCGTCAAGATCGACTCCTCAGTCGAGTCCGACCCCGCCGCCGCTGTAGCAACAATCCAAAAGGAGCACGGCATCACGGCCCTCGACGTCGTCATCGCCAACGCCGGCATCTCCCACACCTCGGCCGACATCGCCGCCACCTCCACCAAGGTCGCCCTAGACCACTTCGCCGTCAACTCGGTCGCACCCCTCGTCCTCTTCGGCGCCACGAAGCCTCTCCTCAAGGAGAGCAAGTCCAAGAACCCCATTTTTGTCGCAATCTCCTCCGCGATCGGCAGCAACGGCCTCGCCGAGACGATTGCCCAGATCCCCAGCCCCGTGAGCCCATACGGTGCGTCAAAGGCTGCGCTCAACTGGTTCGTGCGCCGGTTGCACTTTGAGGAGCCGTGGTTGACTGCCTTTGTCTTCCACCCTGGTCTGGTCGAGACGGATATGGCTGCTGGTTTGGCGGCTAAGACCGGCGCTGACCTTAGTGCTTTCGGTGCCATTCCTGTCAAAAAGAGTGTGGATGATATGGTTGCTACTATTGACAAGGCTACCAGAGAGATCAGCGGATCGTTCAAGAACCACGATGGCACTGATTTGCCTTGGTAAACGTTATTGTTAGCCTAAATTACGAAAAGTCTCGGCCTCTGAGGAGGAGGAGCCTGATGACATAAAGCGCATTAGATAGCAGGAGTGTCTGTAGAACTTTAGTCTAGCTTCCAAGTTTCATAGAATTTCAAGACCTGTTTTGTTTACGATTACCTTTGCTACGAGCCTCAGTGTCCCATGTCTAACGTTGATACGGATGAAATTGATGATAGACTCAGCATTCGAAGTTTTGTCCCGGTGGTCACTAGATCGATTCCGTGTTTCTTAGTTTCATGTTTTACTGCTGTCTTGAAGAGGTTTCCCCAGTCTCACTGTGACTTAGGTATTCACTGCTTTTGTTATTGATGACCTTACCTCAACCTTTGCCCCCACCATCCTTTTATTCCTTGGTTGATATATCTTGAAGACGCCTCGAAAAGAGGTTACAAGAATTCTATGGGCCGGCCGGTATGCTTTCCTGTCGCCTCTCTACTTGAGGGGACCTAGATGGACCGATTGCTGAGAAGGCAAGTGGAAGCGAATCGGATGCCGACGTTGTGGGCGGCAGCTGTACAAAAGGCGGCGACGGAAACAAGGTTTGATTTTGCGTTAACGAAGCGTTATTTGAAGAAGTATTTCACGCTAGGATGCTAAAAGGAGCAGACTTGTGTCAAGCTTGTGTTCGACGAGACAAGGTACTAGTATCTGCATGTATTCAAAGACAGAAATCACTCTAGAAGATGGAAGGAATCTATCGAGTGCACCGTAATACCGCTCGGCCTTCTTCACAGAGACCGTGTAGAGCGGCGTCTGTACTTGCCCTTAGAGGCATAGAATGTATCAACCCAAGCCTTCATCTGAGCAATCTCAGCAGTGATGACCTCCTGCATATCCTCATTGACAGCGCCGTTTCTCACAAGCAAATCGTTGCAGTGGCGGGATCCCGGGATGAGGTGGACTGGCGCGCCGGGGCGGGACTTGAGCGGGCCGCCGGGACGGAGCTCGCTGGACACGGAGGCGGAGCGCCAAGGGTCGAACTCGCTATGGAAACGTTAGTCACGCTTTTCCTAATTTCTGGGTACGATGGAATGGCTTACCCGTTGGACCACATGAGGCGCGTGGTGTTAGTGAAGAACCAGCCGTCCGTCGCCTTGTTCAGGTCTGCGGCGGTCTTGCCTGCGTTGGAGGCGTAGGTAAACTCGCCTTGCCTGGGGAAGAAGAGGTCGCATTGGCTCTGGTAGTACTCCGGTGTAACGAAGCGCGAGACGATTGAGGGACGATCCTTGGGAGCACCGCTATTCACAGTTAGTCATGAAGCTCTCTTGCACTTCAACGAGTATCATTGAGCCGTAAACGTACGTCTGCCAGTAGAAGAAGGGCTCATTGCAGGTCATCCAGTACCAAGTCCGGCCGAACGGGTTCTCAGCGCTCCAGTCGGTGTAGATGGGGCTCGTGGCGTTGAAGCTGTCGAAGCAGGCGACGTTCATTGGGTCTGACCACTCCTCGATGCCGTAGGATGCGCAAGCTGCATAGAGTCAGTCACCGACAAGACACACACACAGTTCAGGAGGGCTGCTACTTACTTCCCGGGAGGTAGTTAGTGCTCCACCAGCTGGCGTAGTTATCCAGAGCCTTCGGGAGACCAACGCCATTTGCGCTGTAGGTCGTGTTGGGCGCCGAGAAGTTGCCAATGGCGCCTTGAACAGTATCACACATTTCGTAGAAGGCAGAGTATCCCGAGTACAGCTGGATAGACTGCCAGTAGCCAAGGGGTCCGACGAGAGCACTACAGGCATCATAGATGTGAGAATCGAACTCAAAGTCTCCCTTACGACCAAGGCTTCAACTTACGAGGCAAAGTCCTCCTTGTGAGCAAGGTCCTGGAGGCCGAACTTCTTCTTCAGGGAGTAGATCTCGTCATCGCTGCCAGTGAGCAAGACGTTGTCGACGTGGTCGATGATCCGCTCAAAATCGCGACTGCAGTTCTTGGGCATGCCGTTCTGAATGGGGAGGAAGTAGCTCCAGTAGTCGTACGTCGCCTCGACGGGACCGCTGCTGGAGTGGTAGGCCCAGAAGGTTCCCGGAGCGAGCTTTGCGATGGCTGCGGCCAGGACGCCAGAGTAGGATCCGCCGGTGTACACCCAGGGCTACTGGTCGTCAGTTCTATCGGCTTACTCGACAAGGGTCTGGTCTTGATACTTACAGCTTGCGGGGCGTTGCTGCTGCCGTTCTTGTCGAAAGGCAGCTGGACATTGCGGGCGAGGTTGGCAAAGTCGAGGACGGCATTCGTCATTGTGTGCTGCTGGAGGTTCTTGGTATCTTGGACCGCGTACGGCAGGGAGGTTCCCCAATTACGGTCTGGTCATCATTAGTATTTTTGGCTCTGCTCCAGTGTCTGTGGCAATTTCCATACGCTCAACCATAACGACGGCACCGCCGATTGCCTTGGCAATGGCTCCTGTGATGGCCCGATCCGTGAGGTATCCGGTGTAAGGGGCAGCTTCTGATTCTCCAGGCGTGAAGAACACCACCTACAATCCATTAGTCAGTGAGATGGCCACAACATCAAGCGAGACAAGTCGTACCGGAGAGCCAGGTCCCTCCCAGTACGTGGAGTTCCACCAGTATCTTTGCTGGAAGGTCCCGAGAGACGGGTCATTGTGGTCGATGAGCTGCTCAAAGAAACCGG